AGCCTGTATCGATCGTGCTCGGGCGATCGAGACGAGAGGCGCCCTGTGGCTCATGAAGGCCCTCAGATCAATGTTCATGCCGGTTTGCTCGGATTGGGCCGTGTAGAGCCCTTGTTCGAGTTGGTTGCATTGCTGCGCGAGGGTGGCCTGACTGGTGGCTACGCTGGTGACGGTTGTTTCGACCCGCATGACGTTTTCGGCAAGTTGCTGCTGGTCAGCCCCCAGTTCTCTGAACCTCGCGTCTGCTTGGTCGGTGATACTTTGGACTCCAGTCGTGGTACTCACTCCTTGACGGAGAACTCACCGTAGTCCGTTGCCGCGTGCTGCTCGTTGGCAGACAAAACTGGGGCGTCAGTGCCTTGAATTCGGCCGGCGCCGCCCAGCATGTCGCAGTCGGCAGCGTCGTTTCTGGCAAGGTGGCTACCGCCGATGTATGTGGTGGTTTCCATATTGATGCTGCTGCCTCGTTTGCGAGAACCCCGTGCGCTGCTGCTGCGCTGCTTTTTCCTAAGCGGTGAGGCGCTCGGCGGCAGTGGCGTTCCTGAACTCGGTGGAGGTTTCAGCAGCGCTTGAAGGTGCGGTCTGGTGACCACCATTTCCTGCAGGGATTTGGGGGGCGTCTGACCCTACCCCCCCCCGTGGGCGATCCCTCCACGGGTTTCTCCGTAGCGATGGCCCCTGGTGAGACGATCGTAGCCGTTGGTTCTTTTGGGGGATCAGCTTTGGCAGGGGCATGCGCCTCGACATTGGCAGTTGCCCAGGGGTGGTGGAGTCGTGAACGTGGAGTGTAGCGCTCGGTGGGGGTTCGCCACTTTGACTATGGCGAAATCGCCCCTGGTGATGTTGTCCCATCCTGTGGGCGGGGCACCGCAGTGCCATTTGATGGATGCCAGAACCTTGGCGATGTGCGTCCTGGTGGCGCGCTGCGGCCCGATGCCCGTGCTGCGGTACTTGGTGTTGGCGAGTGCGGCGTCAGTTCCCCGTAGTTCCAGGGCGACTTGTTTCTCTCCCTCGATGTCGGGTTTGATTCTGGTGCCCACTCTTTTGTCCGAACGGACGGCCGTGCGTTTTGTGCTTGGCTGAGGTGTCGCATGCTTCCTGAAACGCGGTTTGGTGGCCATCTGGGTACCGCGCGATGATGTAGTCATTGGGCGGGGGGCCCTTTGGTTCCATGATCTCTGATGTCGAACTGAATGTCTCCTTGCCCCAAGGCGGCGGGAACCACGGGCACGACTGCTGGCTTGATCCCGAAGGTAGCCGTGGGCTTGCGCTTGCCGATTGTGGTGCCGTGGCGACCTAAGAGCTCCATGGCTTCTTGCACTTGTGCGGCACGGAGGCGGGACGTGAACACGGCTGTGAGCGCGTCCGTGAGGTCGTCACCGAGCTGTTTGCGCGAGACGTCCCGTTCGGCTGATTTGTTGCGTTCTTTGGCCATTTGTTGTGCCGTGCCTGGTCCGCATGGGATGCTGTTGCCGTTGATGGGTGTAGCTCCTACGAACTGAGCCGAGAACGGTTCCTCGAGTGCGGGTGTGATCGCCGTGGCGGTTGCCTTGCAGGTTGCGGCGCGGATCCAAGCGACGTTGTCCGCTGGGTCAAGGGTGATCCGGCCGACGTTTCGGAGGGACTTTACCTCTTCCCGTCCTAGCTGGTGCATGGCCCCTTGGATGTGACCTGGCATAGGCTTGGTAGCCCTGGCCGTGAGGCAGAGCACAGGGTTTCGGAATGGTTGTCCTGGCTTGTCGGTGTTGATGGGTTCCAGGGCGACAAGCTCTAGAGTATTATCTTGCGTGTGCATCTGCTGTGGCAAGCGGTCGCCGTCCTCCAGCGCGTGGAGTGAGATGCTGCTGGTGTACGAGGTTCCGTCGCTCGTTCTGGCAGGCGCGGTGGTAACGGAGACGTCCCAGCTTTGCGCATCGAAGCTGGTGAGAGGAGCCCTGCCTTTGCCCTGGTGGGCATCGGCGTCGACCGCGACTCCTGCAGGTGGTGGGTCACGTTCTGAAGCCTCGTCGTACACGAGGGAGTAGTGCAGCATGTTGTAGCTGATCTGGTTCCCCCTCACAATCTCATTATCTCGCTCCTGAGCCAGCGTCGGTCGGAGCGGTGCTGTTGGTCAATTGTCTCGAGGTTGGTGTGATGGTGACGAGCGTGTGCGTTGTATGCAGCGACTGCTCGGTCGACGCCACCATTGCTCTAGGGGTGGCGAGGCAGGCTTCCTTCCGACTGAGGTTGGTACCTGTCGATCGATCAAGGTCGTCTTTCCGCGGCCCTTACTTGGTGGCTTGGGCTGCCGTGGTGCAGGGGACGCACGGCGAGGGCCTTTCGTAGCCATGGTGCGCTCGCGGAACTGACAAGATCGACGCCAGTCTGTCACGGCGAGTTCGGTCTCGCGAGGCCAGAGCAGGCTGCGGGGCGCTCGGCGTCGCGGTTGCGTACTGGGTCAGGGACCCTCGAGCCGAGATTGGAGAGGTAGGAAGAGAGGGGGGGAAGGCATGGTGCCCGCATTCATCGTAGGCTGATTGTCGAGTCTGGATGGGGCTGCGGGTCATGCCAAAGAAATCGTTAGACCTGGTTGCGCCTCATCGCGCATCGGTCCACACCACAAAAGCCCTGTTGGTTGTGGGTCGGTCGTGGCGAACGTTTCGCACTTGTCAGTTGAGACGGCTGCGCAATTGGTCGTGGTGGGCCGGGCCGCCAGGAAGGCATGACACCCCAGGCCTCTCACGGAAAGGGCCCGTGAAGCAGGCGCTTGCCGGGTGACCTGCTCGGTCTTCGTCTTGCTCCTGTTTACGAGCTTTCTGATACTTTGGTGAACTCGTTCGGGAGCCGAGAGTTTGTTTTGTGTCCTCTGTCAGGTCTCCGCCTGTAACGGGGAGGCAGAAGGACGAGGGATGCGCGGCAGGATGGGGCGGAGGGACCGGGGGTCGCGAGTTTGAGCATTTCCCCCTCTGTGTGCGCCCGGAGTGGGACCACGACGGGAGGTGCAGCTCGCGAATGGGAGCGCGTTAAGGCTTAGCAGAATGCTGACGGCGTGGTGGCTGCATGCCCTTCTCTCTGCTCGCGCGCCTCGGGGGCCTCCAAACAGTGCGGTAACCACACCGTGTGGTGAGCCAACGGGGATTCGGGGTGACTGCACGGTATTGGGGTTTGAGGACGTTTCGGGCGATTGGAGCCTCGCAGGTCCCAAAACCGAGGGACCGTGCGGTGCGGTCTTTAGGGATTTCGAGGGTTTCGAGATCACCGCGCGGTCTCACCGCACTGTTCTGTGACCCCCAGATGCTGTGTGGTGTAAGGATTTTCTTGCTCGGCCTTGGGCCTGCGGAGGCATCCGCAGTCTTCCCAGTACCTATCTCCATTGACCACCATGTGATTATTTCTGCAGACTTGCAGAGTCATCTGCAGATTGGGAAGGAGGGGGTGGAGGAGGAGGAGGAGGAAGAGGAGGAGGGGGAGGAGGGGGAGGAGGAGGAGGAGGAGAAGGTGAGGAGGAGGAGGAGAGAGACGACAAGGTCAAGAAGGAGCATGAAGAGGAGGACGAAGAGAAGGAGGATGAGGGTGCATATGCTTAGGCACTGCTGGAAAGTGGAATCCTTGGTGAAAATCATTTGAAATCGATGATTCCGAGGCAACTAGGTTGGACGGCATCTGACACTCAGGCCTCGACGGTCCGTCTGTGCGAGAGCCAGGTTTCACTGACACTAGCGTGCCCAGTCCCACGAACCTGTAGGAGGTTTCGCGGGCGCACCCGCAGGGTAGCCAATGCGACCCATGGTGCCTACTAGCCCATCGGATGTCACTTCGAGATCGCCGTATCTCATTCGGAAAGGGATGTCTTTTGACCGATGCCCCAGCTTCTCATCGTTGCTGGTCCTACTTCCGCGACAGCGTTTTGACAGTGTTTTGGGAGCCGGGACCGAGCAGGTAAGGGGGGAGTGACCCAGAGACGCGGCAGCAGTATACGTGGGGCTGCCATTCCAGGTGGAAGCGGCCAGCGTCTTGAGCAGTGCCTCCTGCGTTACGGTTGGACACTTTTGGTTAGCGTCTCGCGCCGTCAGTTCTGACTCACCTCGCTTCGGTGCGTCACGCTGACCACGTCTCGATTCTCCTGGCGTCGCCTTCCGCCCCGCGGAGCAGAGCGACGCGCTATCAGCTTGCAGGGCATAGCGTGTCGCCAGGGCCGTCGCCGCGACACGCCAAGCAGAAGTTCCCGACCTTGCCATTTTGGCTGAACGCGGCTGGCGTCTTGAGCAGTGCCTCCTGCACTAAGCCCGCCCAGGCTCCTCCCATGAGAGCTGGCAGGTTGGCGCGCACCCTCCGACGATGGCTGTCCAGCACGAGAGGGCGGACGTGCCGTCGTTCAAGGGGGCAGTCCTCTTCCTCCGCCTCCTCCTCTTCTTGCCTCTCGACTCCAGCTAACGTTATCCCTGGCGCAGCCTGATTGGATAGCAAGTCGCAGGGGTGGCAGTGCTGAGTTTGATTTCAGTGCTGGAAGGCCTTCTACACTGAAAGCGCGCGGCGGTCACGACCGCAGTTGCGACTGTAGAGAGACCACGTGCTGAGTACCACCACCGCCACTTCCTCTTCTGCATCCTCTACCATCTAACATCGTCCGCTTGACTCTGGCGGTGGTGAGTTTTGGTCAGAACTTCTAGAGGAATGCAGCCGTGACGACGAGACCCCCCTGAAGCTAGCCGCCGATAAGAAACCAGTTGTCCAAGATCCTGATCCTCGAACCTCGAGCCTCGACCATCCTCTCCCTCTCGCCCCGCGCCCACCCGACTGTCACGCGGCAAAGGCTGTCTACAGACGCCGGCAGTTCATCAATGCTGATCCTTTATCCTCTGCCTCTGCCTCCCCCCTCCCGCTCCTAACCTCTCCTCTCGCCTGGCGCCCGTCCGCGCGCCCTTCGGCGGTGCCTGCTGCTGCCTCCTCCTCGTCCCCTTCCGTAGTTATTTTCGCGCTCAATCCTCAGCGTTCCCGAGCCCCGCGGCAGGCGATGGCAGATGGTCGCCGCTGGAGGTTTCCACACCGTTCTGCTCCAGAGCGATGGCACCGCCGTGGCGTGCGGCGGAAATGACTTTGGCCAGTGCGACCTCCCGGCGCCGGCGGAAGGCCTGAGCTTTACGCAAGTGGCCGCTGGAGGACGCCACACCGTTCTGCTCCAGAGCGATGGCACCGCCGTGGCGTGCGGCTGGGGTGACTTGGGCCAGTGCGACCTCCCGGCGTGCGACCTCCCGGCGCCAGTAGAAGGCTTGAGCGTCACGCAAGTGGCCGCTGGAGATTCCCACACTGTTCTGCTCCAGTGCGATGGCACTGCGGTGGCGTGCGGCTGGAATGACTTTGGCCAGTGCGACCTCCCGGCGCCGGCGGAAGGCCTGAGCTTCACGCAAGTGGCAGCTGGAGAGTGCCACACCGTTCTGCTTCAAAGCGATGGCACCGCCGTGGCGTGTGGCTCGATTGGCTTGGTCCAGTGCGATCTTCCCGCTCCGGCGGAAGGCCAGAGCTTCATGCAAGTGGCCGCTGGAGATTCCCACACTGTTCTGCTCCAGAGAGATGGCACCGCCGTGGCGTGTGGCTCAAATGACTCTGGCCAGTGCGACATCCCGGCACCATCGGAAGGCCTGAGCTTCACGCAAGTGGCCGCTGGAGGGCGCCACACCGTTCTGCTCCAGAGCGATGGCACCGCTGTAGCGTGCGGCGGAAATGACTTTGGCCAGTGCGACCTCCCAGCGCCAGCGGAAGGCCTGAGCTTCACGCAAGTTGCTGCTGGAAGACGCCACACCGTTCTGCTTCAGAGTCATGGCGCCGCCGTGGCGCATGGCGGAAATGACTTTGACCAGTGCGGCCTTCCGGCGCTGGCGGAGGGCCTCATCCACGTAGCTCATCTCTTGCCCACGTTGCTCCTGCAGGCATCTGTCGACGGCGACTCGGTGTGCTTCACGACACTGGGTGGGGTGGAGCGTCACCGACTTGGGGCCACACCAGACGCTCGCCTATCCATTATTCGCGAGCAACTGACGGCCGCTCACCGGGTGGGCAGGCTCGGCTTCGGACTCGTGCGAGTTGACGCCGTCTTGCCGGGGGGGCGGCTGCTGAGCCACGCGTCCGCCGAGGAGACGGTGTCGAGCTCTTTTGGGCTCTCGGAGGCGCCGGGAGAACTGGCCACGAGAGATGATTCGATGACCCCGACTGTACTACCCCCTCTCTTCCGTCCGACCCGACCTTTGCTCGCTCAGTGGCTGCGCAGTTTTCTGCCCCGCCCAGCTCCTACGCTCGAGCGCGTCGAGGGGCTTCTTGAGTCCCTCTTGGGGGCCCTCCTGAGGCCTTCTGGGGCGTCTTGGAAGCGTCTGGGGCCGTGCTGAGGGTGCTCTTGGGTGCTCTTGGGCCCCCCTTGCGTGTCGGAGCTTTCTGGAGCCTTCTCAGAATGCATCCTGGGCGTCTCGGCGGCCGCGCGCGCCGAGAGGGGCCCGACAGCCTACCCCGCCCAGGAACGTGCGGCTTCACGATCGGGGGTCCAGCCTCGCCGATCCACTGGCGATGCATCGCCGGTTCCAGCTCGGTGCTTCCCCCCCTGAGCCGCTCCCCCACCCTTCCCTCTCATCCCAGGAGGCATTATTCAGCGTCTCGGCGGCCACGGGTGGCATCTTGGCGGGCAGCTTGGAAGGCCACGCGCCGACATCCGACGATTTTATTTGTTTTTGCTTTTTGATTTTTCTTTCCGCAATCCTCGGCCCCAAGGGTCCCGAACCTTTCCCCAGGGGCAGCTTTTCGCCCAGGATCTGATGGCCCCAGGGTTCGATGGCGGGCGGGGAGGGCGGGGAGGGCGAACCCGAGGAAGAGAGGGCACCGACAACGAACAAAAACCTTGCGACGTGTTTTTCTTTCACGACGCGAGCATGTCGTCATGGTCTTGGCGGGGCACCTTGGCGGCCACGCGTCGGAACACCTCTAGACGCCCAGGCCCTCGACCTCTGTGGTGCGACGCTCGAAGATCGAGCCCTCTTGGCCCTCCAGATCCTCGAGGATCGAGGTTCGACCATCGATCATCGACCATCGATGATCGAGGCTCGACCATAGAGGATCATCGAGGATCGAGGGTCGAGGATCATCGAGGATCGCCGAGGATCGTCGAGGATCGAGGCCCGATCGAGGATCGAGGACCACCTAGGCTCGCATCTCGAGGGCCGAGGCCCGTGGACCCTCGAGAGGCCCCCGCGCGCGCGCTGCGGAGGCCTGCGAGGCCGCGGGCGACCTCGAGCGGGCCGTCGGGCTGCTTGCGCGGGGCCGCCTGGCGGCGGCGACGCGCTCGCCGGCGCGGGCCGAGGCGGACAAGAGGCGGCCTCGCTCGTCGTCGTCGTCGTCGTCGTCGTCGTCGTCGTCGTCGTCGTCGTCGTCGTCATGGTCGTCGTCATCGTCGTCGTCGTCGTGGTGGTCCTGGTCGTGGTCGTCGTCGTTGTCGTGGTCGTCGTCGTTGTCGTGGTCGTCGTGGTCGTGGTCGTCGTGTTCGTGGTCGTCGTCGTCAGCGCCGCCGCCGCTGTCAAAGATCCTTCGTAGCTGGGGTGGGGAACATGAAATTCGGGGGTCGAGGTTTTCGGTTGTTTTTGGGCGTATGGAGGCTCGTTTTGGGCCCCAGGCTTATTTAGGACGAGAACGCGGCCTCGGGGTACCAGCTGAGGGGTGGTCCAGAGATTTCTTCTGAGCGGCTTTGCAGGCGTGGGCAGACGTAGCGCTGCCGCTTTCCTTGCCTCGTTAACTCCTTTTGGGGCCTCCTGGGAATCCCTTGTCGCCACTGCTGGATTCCTCGCGAAAGTCTAGTCACAATGCACCCCAGGAGAGATCCAGGGGGTAGCGGTACCGGTACCTTCTCGTCGTCGTCGTCGTTGCCCAAGAGGGCGCCAAGACGGCCCAAGGGCCGCCTAAGACGGCCAAATTGGCCCCAAGACGGCGCTCAAGATGGCCCCAAGACGGTCCAAGAAGGCTCCGTTGCGTCCCAAGAGGCCTCCAAAAGCACTCCCAGGAGGGCCCCAAGAAGCCACAATCGTTAAATTCCCATTGGGGAGCGTATTTTTTTCATGTGGGACTTTTCGGCCTTCACGGCTTTGAAGACGGCCCAAGAGGCTCCGAAGACTTGCCCAAGAGAGCCTAAGACACTCCCAAGATGCCCTCAAGACAGCCCTCCTCCTCCTCCTCCTATTCCTATTCCTCCTCCTCCTCCTCCTCCTCCTCCTCCTCCTCCTCCCCCTCCACAATTACTCAATATGAATACTACTCTCCCTCTTCCCCCGATGGCGGCCTGAAAGTAGCCGACCCCCCCCCGCGTCCTGCTTTTTTACACACAACATTCCTGGGAGTTGGGTTTTCGCCTACATTTTTTTCAAAATGCTGCTCTCGCCGAGGCGCCGGCCTCATTTTCGGGCCCCGGCTCGTTCCGAATCGTGCTCCCGCTGCAGCGCTGGCCTCATTTCCGTGCTTGCGCTCGTTCCGAATCGTGCTCCCGCTGCAGCGCTGGCCTCATTTCCGCGCTTCCGCCCGTTTCGACTCGTGCTCCCGTTGCAGCGCTGGCGTCATTTCCCGTGCCATGCCACAGCACACGCGCACACACGCACACACCACCACCACCACCCCACCACCACCACCACCACCACCACCACCACCAACCACCACCACCACCACCACCACCACCACCACCACCACCACCACCACCACCCCACCACCACCCACCACCACCACCACCACCACCACCACCACCACCACCACCACCACCACCACCACCACCACCAGCACCACCAGCACCACCAGCACCACACCAGCACCACCACCAGCACCAGCACCAGCACCAGCACCAGCACCAGCACACATCACCAGCACCAGCACCAGCACCAGCACCAGCACCAGCACCAGCACCAGCACCAGCACCAGCACCAGCACCACGCACGCACGCACGCACGCACGCACGCACGCACGCACGCACGCACGCACGTACCACGCACGCACGCACGCACGCACGCCACACGCACGCGCACCACCACCACTAGTCCGCGGATAGAGAAAATCAGCGCCATGGTAAGGGATGGGAGGGAGGAGTAGGACGTCAGATATGACGCGCGCGCACATAGCTTGCCCTCCTCCCCCTCCTCCTCCTCCTCCTCCTCCTCCTCCTCCTCCTCCTCCTCCTCCTCCTTCCCCTCCTCCTCCCCTCCTCAGCTATCCTCCTCCCTCGACTCCTCCCTCCGCCCCCCCCCCGAGGTGGGCCGCCGCGTCCCTCAGGCTGGCGGACCGCCTTTTCCGCCGGCGCGACTTCGGGCGGGCGCTGGAGGTGCTTCAGAGCGCGCAGGAGGAGACCATCCCGGAGGCCCGGGCCGCTCCCGCCGCCGTCGGGGGCGGCAAAGAGGGGGGTGATGACTAGGTGGGGGTGGATCTCATGGCGGGGGCCATGATATTTCCACAGATTTCGTGGCGCCTCTTCTTATTTCATTACGCCCCTGGCGCCCCCCCCCCCCCGGGGCCGCGCACATGCCGCCGGCCATGATTTGCACCCCCCCCCCTTGGACACCCCCCTCTTGGCCGCCCCCGAGGCCGCAGCCCTGGGCCTCCCCGGTGGGGTCCGCGCAGATCGGGTCGTAGGGTCTCGCCGCATCGCCGATGCATCGCCGATGCGGCTCGGTGTCCCCCCCCCCCTCGGCCACCGCCGCCCCTCGAGGGCAGGCGGCGTGGCTCTGGGCCTCCCGGAGGGGGTCTGAGCGGGGGTTGGAGGAGTCTCGCCGCACCGCCGACGAATTGGCGGTGCGGCTCGACGTGGGGCCCCATTTTCTGCGGGCCGACGTCGCCGATGCGCCGCTGATGGCGCCGATGCGTCGCGATCTGTCGCCAATGTATCGCCGATGTATCGGCGATGCGGCGTGATCCTCTGACCCCATCTGCGCGGACCCCATCCATCGACTACGCGTAAGAGTGACCCTTCGCCAAAGTGACCTTCAGGGTCCGATCGCCGAACGCGGTGCGATAGCAGCGTCTTGCGCGCTTGTGTTCGGTCCCCCCCCCTGCGGCCCCCCAACAGGCCGCGTACCAGAGGTCACTCTTGCCCAGGGCCGCTCCTGCGTGGAGCCGAGTCCAGGAAGCCTCTGGCCGCTCTCCCGGAGTCGAGGGCGTCGAGGGGGGGGTGCTGAGGGGGGGGCAGCTCTCAGAGCGAGGGGGGCCCGAGCGGTCCTGCATCATCCCTGCGCGCGCGGCCGGAGGGCGACGCTGGGCGGGCGCGCTGGGCGGGCGCGCTTCGGACGGGGCTACCACGAGGATGAATTCGTTCCATAGCGTTCAGGAATGCTCTCAGAGCGTCGTTCCGGAACGCTCCGGATTGCCCACAGGCCCCAAGGCTCTCGCTACGGAACCGGAGGAGGCGCGTCAGTAGTTCTGGCGCGGTGCTGCGACAAAAACATTGTCGGTCGATGTTGAAGCTTTCACATTGCAGTGGCCGCGAGGATCAATCCGCTCCAGAGCGTTCCAGAACGCTCTCAGAGCGTTCCGGAATGCTCCGAGAAGGCCGCGACGCCCTAGACATCCTCCAGAGCCGCCGGTTTATCCTCGTCCTGGCTTCGTCTTAGCGCTGGGAGGGCGCGCCTTGAGGCCGCGCTGGGCGGGCGCGCTGGGCGGTTGGGCGGGCGGCCGATCCCGACGTCGGAGGGTGGAGGAGGGTGGAGGAGAGGGGATGACGAGGAAGACGGAGGAGGGTGGAGGAGGGCGGGGGGAATGCAGGCGGTGGTGGTGTGTATACTCTATGGGGCCCGCAGCAGAGAGAGCGCCCACGCAGACAGGTCCGCTGAGCAGGTCTGCGCCGGCTCGCTCAGGCGTCGCGGCATGCGAGCGCGCCTGTGCAGGCCCCAGTCGGTGCTCGCGGATGGACCTTCGCTTCGCAGGATGCGTCTGCTCGTTTTTTTTGTTCTCGGAGGCGGATAGACCTCCTACCCTGACACGTCGATTAAGGACTTGGCCGTTTTCGGTTCGCGAGAGGGCGTCGCGGCCGTCATTTTTGCGGGTCCAGGTCCGGCGGATTCGGTCCCAGGCCCTTCTCACCAAAGGGAGGTTTACTAAAGGAAGGTTTGTCCACCGCCGATTTTCGGGCGGCGCTTGGCGACTCCGACCAGGTGCACTCGGGATGCGGCGCCGCGCGCACCCGTGGAGTGCCCCAGCAGTTTTCGCTGAGAGGCGTTTTGCTCTCCTGCCAACCCTCGATCTCCGAGGGTGTCTCAGGCGACTGGGGCCTCCGAACAAGTGCGATAGAACACAAGTGTGATAAGTAAACACGTGTGATAACATTAGGTGTGATAAAACAACTGTGATAAACACTTGTTCGGAGCAAGTTTTTTTGTGATTTCGCACTTGTTCGGTCCCACAGCCGTGCGGTGACGGACCGTGCGGTGAGGTCTCTCGGACCGCCGCGCGGTGGGTCAGCCTACCTTCTCTGGGACCCCGAAGAAAGCCTGGGGCGTCGAAGAGGGGGCGTCGAGGAGGGAGATATTTTCCACGGGCGCCCTCGAGGGCGCGAAGTTATTCGCGCTTCGCGGTTCGGCTCCGATTCCTCCTCATCCTCCTCTGCTCCCCTGGGAGGCGAAGCGAGAGCGCGAAGATATTTGCACCTCGCTCTTCGCGCAGCGCGAAGCGCGAAGTTGGGAGCCCTTGTTTGCTCTAGGCCTCATGCAGGAGGTCCGAATCGATGGTGTCGGAGGATCGCTCCAGATCGTCGATGCGTCGGCGTTGCGGCTTGATGCGGGGCCCGATTTTCTCTACGCTGGCATCGCCGATGCATCGCCGACATCGCCGATGCGTCGCCGATGTATCACCGATGCATCGCCGATGCATGGGCGATGCGGTGCAATCCTCCGACCCCATCTACGCGGACCCCATCTAGGAGGCCTCTAGTCGAGGGGGGGATGCTGATATCGCCGTCGAGGCCATGCAACCAACGTCTGATCAAAAACCAGGACGGAGCTCTTCGGCGGTTTTCGACGTCTGGGGACCCTCGCCGGGCCTCAGGTTTGTGAATCAACGGCTTGGGATGACACTCCAACCATGAGAAAGGTTTGGTTCGGTAGCAAATCATAGGAGCCTTGTGCACCCTTGCAATTTTGTCTTTCGCGTCGATTAGCGTCTGGGAGTCGATAAGATAGCGCCGTTTTAGCGTCGGTTAGCGTCGACTAGCGTCGATTTAGCGTCGATTAGCGTCAATTTAGCGTCGACTAGCGTCGATTCGCAAGAGCCGACACTATGGTATGTGAGGCTCTCATGAGTTGCCAGCGAAGTTTGGGACTTCTGGGGACCCCGTTTCGAACAAACATCAAGTCATCGTATGTCTTGTGGGGGGAAGGAGACTCTCATTGGTTCTCGACTTTTTTCTCGCCATGGGGTGTTTGCTAGCAGCTGCGCCTCGTCGAAAGCTTTCCAGGGTTGCCTGGATCATCCTGAATGGCCATTGGAGGCCCAATCCGTCACCAGAGAACCATCTGGCGTCGATTGGGGTGGGTGGGTGGGCGAGGACTAGGTGAACATGGGCATCCTGGCCAGGGCCATGACATCTCCCTGAACTAGTGGCCCCTCTTCTCCTGTTCCTTCTCCTCCTTCTCATTATTGTTATAAGCCTTGTGCTCGTCCTTCTCTTCCTTACTCTTCTTCTTCATCATCATATGATTATTTCTGATTATTGTTGCTTTCTTCTTCTTATTATTAAGTATTGCTT